TGGCAGTGGGATGCAGCAACAGCTCTGCTGCAACCCCATCCCTCGTGGGAACCTCCTGCTACAGTTCCATCCTCCCTTCTTCATTCCAACCAGTACAGACTCAAACCAGGGTGATAAGCAAAGGGGTCTCTCCCTGCCTGTGGTACCCAAAATACATCTGGTTGAGACTCTACATCGAGCTGGAATGGTACAGAAGGTGGCAAGGGACGTTGCTTCCTTTTCACACCACTGTCCCTGCTCCCATCACCCTCTTCATTCCCTTTTCCATCTACCTGTACCTTTCATTCCAGAGCGATATGCCAGTAGGGATGTCAAAGCATTTTGCCCTGCATCCTACACCCCGTTGTTGGATTGTCTCTGCAGAAATCAGTGGGGCATCACTCAGAGATGCTGCCTGCATCCTCCCTGGTGGTCAACAGACCTGGGGGTGTATGCAAACCAGGAAACCTGCAGACCTTGAAAACCAAAGTAACATCCAAAGAGGAAATTAAACAGCCCACAGACCAGCTTAAAAACACTGATGCTGGTTGTGATGCCAAAGGAAAGGGTGAGACAATGAAGAGCCCATGGGGCAAGCCTTGGGCTAGCTGCTGGTTTTCCCAGGGAGGGATCAGGACCACCCCCTCCTCCAGGATGGCACTGCAGTTTGCAAAGGGATTTAATACTTCTGGTGCAAAGTCCTCAGTCTTTGTGGACGAAACAAGCTGTGCGAGATTCCAAGGTTATGACTCAATCCCATCCTATCCAGGCGATAGCATTGGGCCTCAGTTCCCCATTTACAGCTTCCACAGGACAAAAAATAAAAGAAAAAGCAAGACTAAGACAACAGATAACAGTGCTCTTAAGAGAATCAAGTCCTCCTGAAGGCTAATCTCATAGCAGCCGTTTGCTCTTGCCTCATCAAAGCCTTTCCAAGAAAAAGAGACAAATACAACCCTTGTCTCTGCCCCTGCCCTCAAGGGGTCTCTTTTCTCATCCACCAGCACGCAGAGGAGCAATCCAGAGCAGCTGAATTACACCAGGTGCTGAGCCTCAGCCCTGATAAGGATTTCAAGGCACACTGTCAGGACGTGGTCTGCCTTGCTCTACCTGATTCAAATACCCAAAACGGAAGATTTCCTTTAACCAAGGATAAAATGACTGAGTTAAAATCTTGGGGGCAGAGGAGCGACACTGAGCTGACCTGATCTGGGTGGTACCTGAGAAACTTTGTTTTTTCTCCCATTCTTTCAATTTTTTTTTTTCCCCTGTAGAGGTTGTGTTTGCTTTAAAAATGAGTTCTCAGGCACCTTTTTCTGCAAAAAGACTTGGCAAAATATTTAGTAGATGAATAAGAATTGTGTAATGACTGAACACATCCAGGAGAGTTACACCTCCAGCATCACTTGAAGGATGCTCTGCATGTGCCACGAAGTTATATTTTCTATTGTGGGTTGCTTACCCCCAAAGTTTTTTTCCTCTTGTGGTGTATGTTATCACAGAGCAGAGTCAAAGGGAAAATATGGACATGGATGGGTCCAACAGAGAGATGCTTTCATCTGAGAAAACTATCAGTTGCTGCAGGAGAGACAGAAAAGCCTTCTGCCAATACTTGTGGAAACATTTCATTTCAGCTGGGTAGAGCCAGGAGTTATCCCATTTGGTTTGTAACCTGCCCAAAAATCTTTTTTGAGTTAGAAGATCTCCCCAGAGACTTTTTACCCATTTCAGTGGTGTGTGTTGACAGGGTTTTTTAATTTTTTTTTTTTTTTGCTTCATTAAATAAGGAAATGTAAGAGAGTTTTGCATTTGGCCATTTTTCCTGCTTTTTATGATGTGATGATGACCCCTTGTGGAAGTTGCTAAGAGTAGGAGTTGGAGACCACCCCTGGATCATATCTATATTTGCAAGCCCTGTCATGCAGCAGGAACATGTTTGTGAAGGGGGAAGAATGTGAAGGATCTGCCATCTACCCTTGGTGTATTTTGGGGGATTCTTCTGGAGGAGCTCCAGTTTGGTCCCGAGGCTGCCCTTAGCAATTATCATACATATCTAGGACCCTGTTTTGCTGGAACAACGATGTCCTATTTCCATTTCAAGTGAAAAGAATACAGTTCAAGTGCTCTACAATCACCCACAGTGAGGGGCACTAACTTCAAAAAGCATCTCCATTCTTCTCCTCCTCATCACTGACTCCTCACCTGAATTCACATGACAAAGCAGACACACCCTTAAAGCCTTGATTGAGATGGGAAGTTAATGGGATCATGTGCAGGCGCTCAGAAGCCCTGGGAAGGATGCTTTTCTCTTTCCTAGGGCAGAGGGATAGTGCTGTCAGAGGTTTGTGCAATCCTCCTGCTCTGCCTGGGAAGAAGGTGCTTCTGGAACCAAGAAAAGGAAATCAACACCAAAGCTCTTCTCCAGCTCTTGTCCCATAAGAAAAGTCAAACGCTGTCTAGTTTTCTGGACCGATATCAAAGCAGCCACCAAGAGCTCGCTCGCTGAAAAACCAGCATCTGCTTCTGGGAGTTTGCTGGCAAAGCTGGGGAACCACCAATGCTTTGGCGACCACAAAGCAAAGGAGGAGGAGGAAGATGTTGCTGGAGCAAGATACAAGCAATTGGTGAGAACTCACTGCGTGATTCTGTTATTCTAACGCCATTAAGTTTGAACCGATCCTGTTTTCTCTTGGGTCACTTGGTTAATAGTTGCTGCCTTTACCAAATAGTTGTTATTTTCATAAAAAAAAGGGACTGAGCTGGGATAGTTACTTTCAAATCCCTTCTGCTCACTGGGAACTCGAACCCTAAAGCAGACGTTACTTTATTGAATTGCACATAACCTATTTATTTGCTTGTCTCAACAGAGATCCTTAAAAATATCTGAGTTTCTCCTCATTCGCTGCTTTCAGTACTTTCAATACCCAGGCAGTAACTTTCTTTGTATGTTGTTTTTCTATAAGACATTTAATTTCTGGGCTGTCACCAGGTGAGTAAGCTTTCATGGGTGTTTGCTTCTTGCTATTGATATTTCTAGTTAACCAAAAAAACCCCTTCTGCAAGCAGTGTACCATCTGATGCACCGATTTTTTGGAAGATTTTCTATTATTCTAACCTTAAATAACCTGGTGTTGCCAGAGCCAATTTTTAAGCAAAAAACAAAACAATTAGACCTACTAAACAAAATATTCTCTAAAATTTTATGCCCCCCAACCAAGAAAAAACAACTAAATAAACTCCTTCATCAGTCTACTTGCATTCTAAGGCCCCAGCTGGGAATTTCGATGCCTATCACACATGGTGTATGGAGTCACTAGGGTTAAATATTTTGGCTGTGTTGACTTTGCTTTGTGGAGTTTCTTATGGTTGTGTTTGCAAAGGGTGTTGTGGTATGTGCTGAATTAGCATCAGCTTCCTTGATGGAGAGCAAGCAAGCGGTAGGAATAGTTATCCCTGAGATTTTGGGTGTAGGGTGGGATGTTTGCCCAGGAAGGGTAATGAAGGGAAGAGACAACAGAGGAAAATGCTTGTACTTGCTTTGAACATGGGAATGTCTGGTTTAAACAGAGCATGGGAACAGAATAGGAAGCTTATCAAGGAAGGATTGATACAGGCTACCCCCAGCAGCCAAAGAGGAGGTTTTGGTGGCAACTAGTGACTTGATTGAGATGAGATATTAGGAAAAAAAAATTTCCTGTGAGGATGGTGAGGCAGTGTCCCAGGTTGCCCAGAGAAGCTGTGGATGCCCCATCCCTGGAGGGGTTCACCAGGAGCTTGCATGTGGCCACTCTGTTTTGGAAAGTGTTCGCCACTTAGGAGGAATGAGAGCAGAAGTGATGGAGAAAGCTAAAAGGCACTCATGGCCTTCCTTTAGTCACTTTAAAATGCTTCATTGCTCCACTCAGGAAATTAATTTAGGGCCACAAGCCAGAATGAGTAGAGAATGGTAAAAAATTCATAGATTTAGATAAGTCCATACAGCTGGATGAGGTCCTTCCTGGAGTGGGTAAGGATTTGAGATGATCTCTGAGTTGATGGGATTTACCTTCAGGGACTGGGAACAGGCTCAGCTGTCCCTAACAGGAAGAAAAGGAGGTTTAAGGGAGTTGTAGATGAGTCAGTGTAACTTCATTTGCTGGAGGAAATGTGTTGGTTATACACTTTGCAAAAATCTAGAGAGTAACAAGAAGATCAGAAAGAAACAGGTTTATCAAGCTTGACTCGTCTCAAACTGATTATTTTTTTTTTTTGTATGAAGTTAAAGTTGGCTCAAGGAGAGAGCAGAAGACCTTTCTTTTGAATTTTGATAGGGTTATGACAGTGTCCTAAGCTCACGATAGCGGTTTGCAATGGCCATACCCTCACAGATCCTCAAAGTGTGCTGGGAGAGTGCCTGATCCCATCCCACTGCCATCACCAGCGGCTTCCTAGTGCCTGGGTCCAAAAAAAAGAGGGTTTCTTAAGTCCTGAAAGCCCTGATAAAATGAAGTGGGAGTCTTGGCAGCCAGGATAAGAGTTAGGGACCTTAACGCCAGATCCGCCTGTGACTGCAGACGTCTTGAGGCTTCTTATCTCAGCACCATGAGAGGTCACGTCTGGTCTGTATGGTTGTGTGACAGGACAGGACCATGGCTATAACATGAATTTTGGCCTGAATGTGGTACCGCAGCTGAAAACAATGCCAGCTGTGGCACAGCTCTCTAGTCTGTCTTCTGCTCTGGGATGCCACCAGCTAGGACCTGTTTGTTGACCAGGATTTTGCAAGATGAAGCCATGGTGGCCCCATCTGTGGTTCCTTCAAAGACTCCACCTGCCTCTCCCTGTTGCAAAAACCCCTCAGTGTGTTGCCCTGTGATGGGGAGCCAAGGAGGACAACACAAACAGCAGGGCAGGGGTCTCACCAGCAAGACCCCATCCCATCATGCCCAACCTCCATGGCCATTTGGTCTGTAGTCCTCCAGGAACAGGTCCTACTTTGGGGTGGTGCTGTGGTTGGTGCAAGGCAGAGAATTATGACTTACTGACTGCCAGGACAAAGATGGCAAAGATACCAATCACCTGCCAGAGGCGAAGCCCCCAGATCACCACCGTCTCCGAAGTGACAGGGTCCGGTTTCTTTTTGGGGGGTTCTGTGGTGGCCTGGGAAAGAGGGAGAGAGAAAAAGAAAAAAGAGAAACGGTGTTTAAGATTTTGCAAGGGTCCCTAGAACAGTCAGGAGGATGCCAAAAGCAAAGGAAATGGTGGACCCCAGTTTACTTGCCCCCAACTATTTTGAAATCTTTGAGAAACAGAGACTTCACTAAAGAGCTTGTATCCACTTTGATGTTTATGTGAGGGATTGCCAGTTTTCATGACTGCAAAGCAAATCTTTTTGCTGTTATTTTTCTCTCTTGCTCTGGGTTGTCTCCCTCTGGGTCTCCCCTCTCTCAGGGTTGTCTCAGTCTCTTGGACAGTCAGGCTCTTCTCTCCATTCAGGGATTGTGGTTTCAGGGCTCTCTCTGCTCTGGGATCGTTAGCTGGGAACGAGCTGAGCCTTGGTCATGGGATGGTGAGCAATGTCACTGTGTATCACTCACTTGTGTGTTTATATATACTACAATTATTATCATCATAATATTGGAAATAATAATAATTGTAGTTTAATTATTAAATTGTTCTTATCTCAACCAATGAGTTTCTTTTCCCTTCCCCCCTTTAATTCTCTCCCCCATCCCCAGGAAGGGGTAGAGGGGAGGGTGAGCGAGCGGTGTTGTGGTGTTTTGTTGCCAGACGGGGTAAAACTACAACAATGAGGAACCTAAGTCTCATTGCAGACTCAGTCCTTCGTTCCTCCGTGCCTCAGTTTCCAATCTCTGGAATGGGGTTAAATGTGTTTCACAGGTGTGTTAAGAGGACAAATGGTAATGGTGAAACCAGTTGTGCAGACCACCTTCTGCGGTCCCAGTGCAGAGGCGGGGTCACACGTACCAACAAGAAGCATTTATTCTCTTGGCTTACAACTCAGAGAATCAGAAGATAACAACCCCTCACTGCTAATGAACTTCTCATTACGATGTTCTGTGGTGCAGCAAATCATAGAGGTAAAACCTGCCAGTGACCTTTCAGAAGGGTTGTTAACAAAACACCTTCACTGCCTTATACCTGAATGTAGGACCTGAGCTGAACTGGCAATAGCCTTTTGATAGAAGCTGAAAACACTTTATATCTAAAAAAAAAAATAAATCTCCTGAACAGGCACATCTGACTCCCTGCAGTGCCCTTCCCTTCTCAGCCCATGAAACTGCTGTTAAAACACAGCTGTAATGGACACCACCGAGCGAATTGGAGCTGCTCTCCAATTACTTGCCTATTTGTGCAACACAAACCATATTTTAGTCTCTTCCTAATGAAGGATGCTTCCCGCCCTGTCTGGAGTGCTTTGCCTCCCAGGGGCATCCTATTCAGAATCCATCTGTGGTGAATAGGAATTGCTCTCTGTCTCTTCTAAGCTGTCCTTGGCTACTCAGCACCACCTGGCCCCAAGTCATTGCAAATTGTGACCACCGCCCTGGCCATGGGGTATCCAGTGATGAAAACCCCGAATTGCTACAAGTGAACTAAGGGGGAAAGAAAGAAAGTCTGGCCAGAGTGGGTCTTGTAAAGGCATCTGGGACAATCAAAGAGGTCGGAATCTGTGATACTTACACTGTGTTGTAGTTTACACAACACAGCCGCTCGCTCACCCTCCCCGCTCCTGGGGATGGGGGAGAGAATTAAAGGGGAAAAGAGATTCATGGGTTGAGATAAGAACAATTTAATAACTAAATAATATTGGAAATTATAATAATGATAATAATAGTAATGTATACAAATGAGTGATGCACAGTGACACTGCTCATCACCAGATGACCAAGGCTCAGCCTGTTCCCAGCTAATGATCCTGGAGCAGGGAGAGTCCCAAAACCTCACTCATGGAACAGAGATAAGAGCCTGAGTGTCTGAGAGACCAAGACAACCCTGAGAGAGGGGTGACCTGGAGGGAGACAACCTGGAGCAAGAGAGAGAACTTTGGGACAGAGCCTCATCTCTATCCTGGCCATGCCGTGCATGGGATGGAACAGACCATTGGCCAGTTTGGGTCTCAGTCCTAAACCCAAGGTCGAATCCTGGGCTGGTCACTGGGGCTGTGCTCCCTCCCAGCTCCTCCTGCCTCTGCAGACACGGGCACAGCAGAGAAGCTGGAAAGTCCTTGAGTGTCCTGGCAGCAGCTCTGCCCATCAGTGTGTGATCAGCTTCTCCTCAGCACAAACCCAGACACAGCCTCACACTAGGCACTTCACTGTGTATCACTCATTTGTATATTTGTATATATTGCTATTATTATCATCATTATTATTTTTTCCAATATTATTGTAGTTTAGTTTTTAAATTGTTCTTATCTCAACCCACGAATCTCTTTCCCCTTTACCACTTTAATTCTCTCCCCCATCCCCGGGATGGAGGAGGGTGAGCGAGGGGCTGTTTTGTGTAAAACTACAACATATGCCAAAGACTTGGCACCCAAAGCCTGCTGGATGGGCATGTCCCCAGGTGTGGTGGAGCCCAGGCATGTCTTCCCCCATCTGCAGAGAGGATCTCCGCATCGGGTGCTAGTATCAGCTTTGCAGCTCCTCCAAGTGCCCAGCAAGGGCTGGGAGGAGGCACAAACCACTCTGTAAGGAGCTGGATCTGAGCTGACATTGGACACTCAGGGCTGTAAACCATCAACTAAACCCCAAAACATCAAATCATTTCCAGGCAAGGTGCATTTTTAGGTCGGAACAGTTTGACACTGGTTCTTCTAAATGGAAAAAGAAAAAAAAAAAATTCATGATTGCTTTGTTTCTGATTCATTTCAGGCAGGCAGCAACTGGCAGTGGTGATGGGGGTGGAAGTAGAGCTATCATCCCCAGTGGAAAGGGAGTGAGCTGCTGGAGACAGGAGTTTTATTCACTTCAGAGTAGCAAAATTGGAAAAGGCACTGCTTTTCAAAGTAGTCTTTTTTATTTTTTTTTTTTAAATGCCCTTTCTAATTAGGTGTGGCTGGTGTTGCTGCTTTGCCTGCAGCATGGCTGGGCTTTGAAAAACTAATAATATTTATTCCTAATTGCACTTGATTACACAAATCTAAAGGCCACAGATGGTTCTGGGGGGCTGAGCTTTAAACAAATGCACAGATGTACTCTCTCCCTTCCCCTCCTTCTGAACAACAAGAAGGAGATGGACGATCTGACAGCAGATCTCCAAAACTCATCTAGTGAGGCCAACAAAATCCTCTGCAGTGGTGGGAAACCCTGGTGGGGTCCAGATACGACATTGAAAATACACTGATGATAATGGATCTGTGGCTTCATAGGTCAAGGGCCAATATGATGGGATTATGAATTTAGGAAAACCAGACTGATCGTAATGACTGAATTTAAGCGTGCTAGCTAGTAAATCTAATATTTAATGTTAAATTATGGTGTAGATATAGCTGTTGCCCTCGTGGTGAGGCTTGCTTGTGCCTCCTGGGCTGGCCAAAGGACACTTCTTGTGGTCTCAGACCTCCAGCCTCCCTCATTCCCAATAGGAATCTGATTTATTTTTTTTTTCTCTTCCTACCTGGACCAGTTCACGGTCCCATGAATGAAAGCTTCAAATTGAACCCTGACGCCTCTTCTCATCTGAGAATGATAGCAGTCACACAAGAGCCTCTTTGGCATAGCTGTAGCATTTAGGATAGTTGTTTATTAGCAGAGGCAATAGATATAGTTAGAGATGAAATCTCTCTGCAAATAATAGATGTGCTCTCAGAACACTTTCAAGTTTGTCCTTAATGTTTATGTGGGTTTGGGTCTGGGAGAGTCCAATTACTTTGTACTCTGCATAGTCTCATCCCTCTCTCTTAAGCCTGTCTCCTCAGAGACCATGACAAATAATTTTCCAGAAAATAGCTTTTGTCATTTTCTGTAATATTTTTAATCCAATTTACCTGAAATACTCTCTCCCTCAAAGATGTCCTTCTTAAAGGTCTCAGTTCATCATGTGTGTTGCTTGTGTTGCGAACTGCTATTTGTTCTTTTTATTGTCCGCTATTGAGTTAAATCCATGCATCCACCTGGGAAATCAACCTCAGGAGCCCACTCTAACTCCTCAGTAATTTTACCTACCTTCCTTTGCACTACAGTCACACATGAGTATTTTTAGATTATTGCCTACAGCACCACATCCATCACGTTCATTTGGAGGCTACAAATGAGGGTTACTGTCCCTTGAGCCCAACAATACACAGCGAAGTGTAGTATTAACTCCACTTAACACCCTGTGTATCCAATATATCACTTGTCTGTACGGCAATTTGAAAGTGGAAGGACTTGGCAAACGTCTGAAAGCCTTTAATTAACCCCTCACTTGTTTTTAAATGGCCTTCAATTTATCTTGCAGTCATCTTCTTGACCAGCTCCATCAGGATCTGCCTTTGGTCTGCTGAAGCTATTCATAACTAGTAGTAAAGGTGCTTTTGGTTTTTTGGGGTTGTTTTGTTTGTTTTTTTTTTTCCCCCCCCCCCCCACTCTTAAGTCTGTGCAGCAGTTTTTCCAGGGAGTCCAAGCTTGAATGACAGAAGATCAGAAGTATCTTTATTTTTCTTGATTTCTTGGTAGAGTGAAGGGGAAACTTTTTCTGGTCTGATAAAGCCATTGGAACAGGCTGCCTGGGAAGTGGTGGAGTCACCTTCCCTGGAGGGGGTCAAGAAACGTGTAGATGTGGTGCTTGGGGACACGGTTTAGTGGGTTGGGTGGGGTTGGGTTGACGGTTGGACTTGATGATCCTTGAGGTCTTCTCCAACCTTAATGATTTTATGAAAGCTTCTGAAGAGTTTTTTACATGAGTTCTGAGGACAGAGTTTCACCTCCTGCCTGGGAAGCTTCAAACTTCAATCTAGAGACCAAGAGCTTAATAAAAGTCTGACGGATGCAGAATTTGACTCAATAAGGGGATAATTGACTAAACCACACGCTACATCCCAAACACATGATGTGCCTTCCTGCCTCAGTGTCCAAATTCACACCCAGTCCAGGTCTCCTAAGAGCTGACCTGATGCAGGTTATCCTGCTGGTTTTCTCCATGAGGAACACATGACTTCTGGGGTCTGAGCACCCTGTGACAACATGGGGAGCTGATGGGTCTAAACTTCACCCAAAGGAGGTGGACCTCTGCTATAAAACAGTAGGTAGTGTCAAGGTCCAGTTTTCAGGCAGCTTTTTTGTGTTTGTTTGTTTCTGTCTAGCCTGATTCTCTCCTTCAAAGGTCTTCATACAGACAGAAAGGTTTATAACAAAGCAGAAAACCCAAGTAAATCAAATGAGGGCTGAGAAAAGCCTTGGAATAGGAATGAGAAGACTGAGTTCCTTATTGACATAATTATGAACCATATAGGGATGACTGGGAAAATATGGTCTAGTCCAGGTGGTTTATCCATCCTTTGTATCAATAAAGTGGCTCAAATAAGCATAGAGATTTCCCTGTGCTCTCCCAAAGCAAAGTCCTGAGGTTTTCCTGTTATGCTGCAGAGCACTGACTACAAAATAGTCATAAAACACCACGGTGCTAAGTTTCAGCCCTGGCCCAAAAGAGGGCTGAATCTAAGACCTGACGGGGTTAATACTGGCCTTTATAAGAGGACATTTCTGTTCTAGAGGCACTGGAAATGTTGATGTTCCTCCCTCCCTAACTCGTCCTAATTCTGTTTCCAGAGCATCCCTTGGGCATGTCAAAGGTCTGATGGACAAAACCAGTAGTAGTATGAACTGTACTATCGGCTCGTCCCTCCTTCCCTCTGTAAGCTTCCTGCTTCTTGAGATGTGTAGTTCATCCTAGCTGAGACTCTTGGACAAATGATGGGGAAGGTGAACAGCTAAGGAATGGGCCGGTGCTATATGCATTTCATGTAATGGGTATTTTTTTTTTTTTATGGGAGCCAAATGCATTGTCTGAGCAGTCCTGTGCAAGGGGGGGAAAAAAAAAAGCCAAAGCCAAGCCTTCTCGTTCTTTAGTCTTCTTAGTGCTAGAGCATTGGTGTGATGCTGGAAAACAGCCTTTTCCCATTCTTCCAGGTGTTTCTCCAGCACCTGCTAATGTCTGAGGATGTCAATGTGTTGTAATGGTTGGGATATGGAGGCACTGAGGCGTGCATAGGTAGAGCTACGTGGATGTGGATGTTCACAAACCTATAGAAACTAGAACTTGGGCGAGGTGTTCCTGGGGAAGAGTACGTAGCTCTGGGTGAAGTGCAGGAGCACCTTACAGGAGGGCTCCTGGTTCATGGAGATAATTCCAAATTTATATATAATACCCAGTGCTAGGGTAGCTTGCTAGTCCTTGGACAGGACCTGGAGGTCCTGAGGACTCCTCCTTTTCAGCCTGGGGGACTGAGAATTCTTCCAAAAGGTCTATGAAAGAGAAAAGCTATTTGTCAATGCAATTAGATTCAATATTCCGAGGCTTTTATTGCCTCTTTGCTCCCAAGTGGAAAGTGCACGTGAATCTGCACATTTGAAAACACTTGAACACCATTAAACAAGAGCATCTTCTTGTTTCTTTACTTCTCCTTACTCTGTGGTGGGTTTGTTTGTGGTTTTTTTTTTTGTTTGTTTGCTTGTTTTGGTGGGGTTGGGGTTTTTTTTTTTTTGAGCTCATTGAAATCCTGTGTTGTCCATCCCACTTTGACCTTCTCTCTGTTTGCTTTGTTGGGCTGGCTTAGCAGAAATTGAATTATCCAGGATAACTACATTGTATAATTATTTGAAGTAAAAAGTCCTTGCAGAGCTTCAGAGCAGCCTGTAATTCGTCTGCTTTTTAGAAATACAGAAAGTGACTGCTCATCTAATCTCATTTTCAGATACCTGGTAGTTAACCTGCCGTGCAGCTTGTGTTTCCAGATGAGGATGTGCTATAAGAAGCAGATGAGTTTTCAAGCAAGTCTGGTATAAGGAAAGGAGACCACCAAATTACACCTGTTTTATAATAATTTTCGCAGTTTTGCCATTTATCTTGGTTTCGCTTTGGCATAAGGACAATTCCTGTAAAATGTGAGTCTGCAAAATGTAATGAACGGGAACATCTTCCCGCTGGGGTGGATGCTGGGTCGGCACATCGCCCTGGTTCCAGCCAAGCCTGCTTTGTGAAATGTGCCCTGTAAGAGAAAGTTCTGCCTCGCTTGTCACCTTGAGAGCTCCTGCAGGCTGAACAGCTTGGGAAAAAGTAAAAAACATCTATAGGAGAGTATGTGTGAATTTTTAAAGGAGCTTTAGGATCCTGTTTGCCTTGCTGGGGATGTTATATCGTGGTGAGATAGGATGGGTTGGTGGGTCCATCTGAAAATCCCGAATTAAGTGACTTGAAAATGAGACAACCAGAAGGTCAGAAGATGGACTGTGGGGTAGGGATATGAAGTCAGCAAGGTTGTCATTGTAGAGGGGAGACTGAGGTGAGATATTGGGAAGAAATGTTTCCCTGTGCGGGGGGTGAGGCAGTGGCCCAGGTTGCCCAGAGAAGCTGTGGATGCCCCATCCCTGGAGGGGTTCAAGGCCAGGCTGGATGAGGCTTTGGGCAACCTGGGCTGGTGGGAGGTGTCCCTGCCCATGGCAGGGGGTGGCACTGGGTGGGCTTTGAGGTCCCTTCCAACCCAGACCATCCTGTGATTTTATGATTGTCTCTGATGTGTTGGTGATGAACTGCTAAAATCTGCAGAGAGCAGACCTGACTTGATGTGAGGCCAAGGTGAGGGGCAGGGCACCCAGGGATATAAAGATTTAAAATGTTGAGAAAAAAAAAAAAAAAGAAATTATTTTGCTAGCTCATCACAGCTATGCCTGCCCAGATGCATTTCCCAGCAGTTTGGCTAAATCCAGAAATCTGAGCAAAACAAGCTCTGCTGCAAAAACATTCCCTTCGTCAGCTCCACAGCACCAGGGCTCTGACCCCAGACCAACACAGCACCTGCCCCTAACACAGCTCAGGCCTTAGGAAAAGGGGTTGAAAAGAGTTGGGCAGCAAAATGTTGAGCAGCTGGAATTCTGGGGAGGGGCTGTCCTTCTAGGCAGGATTCTCCCTTTTGAAACTGCTGGCAATGAGTTGAAATTTCTAGCAATAAGGGCTGCCAGGGCACAGTCCTGGGCTGGGAAGCTGCTGTTCCCTCTGCTTCATCCCAGCCTTGCTGTAGGGAGTGGGAGCCACGGGGACCATGTAGTCATCCCCAGGGGAAAGCTCTGACACTGAGCTGTGGGTGAGAAAAGTCACCTCAAAAGTTAACGTTTTGGCTGAACTAGAGGAAATAAAGGAAGAATCATACAGCCCAAATGTTTAACATGGGCAGGTACCTCCAGGGACAGGATCACCTGGCTCATGCGTGGTCCTTTTCTTTTATTTTTTTTTTTTATTTAATTTTATTTATTTTTTTCCCCTGAGCCTCTGATGTGGGGCACTTGTTGGACACACAGTACCGGGCTGGCAAATGCTGTGCTGTGACTTGGTCCCTTTGCACTGCATCAAGTTCTTTTTGGGGCTTAAAGTCACCCTTAAGTGCTGACTGTCCCCAGCAGCAGCTCTTGGTGTTTTAAAAACACCTTCTTGCTAGTCCTGGGCCTTTAGAAAGCAACAAGCATCTCCCATAAAAGCCTCAAATTCCTTAGAACGCCCTTAAATTCCCTGCCCTGCCCTACCTGTCCTCTCTGGGTGGAAAAAAAGAAATAATTCCTGGACACCCCCAAGTCCCTGATCTATAAAGCAAGTTGCTCCTTACCTCGATGAATTGTGCCACGGCAGCTCTCGAGCAGGACAAGAAGACGGAGGAAGACCTCACCCAGGAGGGAGGATGCTGCAGGGGTGGATCCCACGCCATCTTCTCTTCCCAAATTTCTGCACCGCAGCTCAAAGCAGGGGAGGGGATGGATAACCCAGCCTTCAGCAGCCTTCAGCATTTACCAGAACCGGTCGCGTGCTTGTCCTGGCCCTTCTTGCCTGTTTCCCTTTCGAACCCAGCTGCAGCCACAAGAGCTGACGCCGGGGAGTCATTAATTAATTAGACTGGTGTCGCTTACAGAGTGCTCTGCTGCTCCTCAGGCCGGGCTCAGGGAAGGGGGGGACGCAGGGAGCAAAGTCAGAGCTCTCCCTGCTCCCCCAGAGGAAGGCAACTCACTCATTAGGATCCTGGCTTTGCTCTTTTTTTTTTTTTTTTTTTTTTTTTAACAGCTGCCTGACTGATTCCAGCTCTCTTCTTCTTCTTCTTTTTTTTTTTTTTTCTTTTTTTTTTTTTTTCTTCTCCTGGCCTGTTGAGAGAAAATTCTCTTTCCCCTAATGAAAAAAAGGGCTGTAAGCCAAGCTGATACATAGCAGCATCATCCCTACCGCTAGCAGAGTCCGGTGTTACTAGAGATGAGTATTTGACATTTTGGGATTTGAAAAGTATCTTTTAAGCCTGAAGGATCTTGTGGATTACCCAGACTTGATGACTTGATGGCTGAAGGCAACTGGGAAGAGGGTGTGCATGGTAGAAGCTACAGCTGCAGGACCGTCATCTCCAGTTCAGCTCTGCTTGGGGGCATCAAGAAAATTATCTGAATAGGATGGGAAGGGAAAAAACACAGCTTGAGGGGTTGGAGGGAGCATGGACAGTCCTTCCACCGAGGAGCAAACAAAACCTTCAGCCACAGAGTGAAAAAGAGAGTCAGGAGGAGAGAGACTGCATGAACCAGGTTTACTATAGTCTCCCATACTCCTAATTTCTTGTGGTACTCATTACTGGGAGAAATGTGCACTTTTAGGCAAGAAAACAAGATGTGGGAGGCTCTCGTCACGTCTGTTGCTGTGTTGTAGAACTTTGGGAGACAGAAGCACAATTTCGGGAAAAATAGCTCTAGGGGAAATGAATAATAATAAACAGGGGAAATAAATAGGGGAATAAATAGGGGAAATAAATAATAAACAAGCTCAAATAGGCAGGCCAGCTTGAAGGTTTGTATTACTGATTAGCTGGTGAAGATTAGAGGAGGGTGGAAGGATGCCAACGTGTGCATCGCAGCCGCTCGGTTCTCCGTTGGATTTTTCCCTCGCCGCAGACCTAGGTGGTGACTTAGCTGCTGTGTTCCCATGCATGAGATGATGGGAAACTGTTTGCTCAGAAAATTGTTCTAAGAATTAAGTGGAGTGGAAAGGGAAGGCAGGATGCTGTGTGATGAGGTCTCATCAGCAGACAACAGAGGGTGGCAGCATCGAGGCAGGGAATGATGAAGTTGTCCAGCTTGGTTCTCCTTTCCCGGCTGAAAATCCAGTCTGGGGCTCTGAGAGCCTAAGCAGTGCTTCACCGAACTGGTTTTAGTGTTTTTCAGCTTGATTTCTTACAGAAATGGGGTTTTTGGACATGATGCTCCTCTTCTCCTCCCTTCACTCTACTTTCCATCCTCTGGACTTCTAAAACTTCGCTGTTGTTTTAATGCAGCTGAAACTGGCCAAGGGATAAAGGTCTGGGAGATATTGAATTTCTGTGCATTTCATTTCAAAACGTGTGCCCTGGGGTAAGAAATTAAATCTGCTGCAGTCCCCATAGAAGGCAGAAGGACAGTATGTGGACCATTTTTGCTGGACACCAGAGGAACCACGCTGGGCAGAGATGCTACGACCACCGGAGCCGTGGGGAGCTTTGCTTTGTTCCTGCACCTTGCTAGACACCAGCGAGTGCAACCACGGGGTGCAAATCCTCTGGGCTGCCAGTCCTGCTGCTTATGGGACTGCCTCCTCTTGGAAAATGTTGTCTAAGCGCTAGTACCAGTTCTGCTTAAGCAGAGCTTGTGGAAATGCACCTGCTGTGCCCTGGGTCAAACGCAGTATGAGCTCTCTAAGCCTCTGGGTTGCTATTTCCAGAGTGCAGTATATTATATTATTATTATTATCATATTATATTATTTCCAGTTTATTATTACTGCCTTGCCCATAAACTGGGAGTTCCACATTGCTCCCATCCCAAATTTTTTATTTGTGGGTTCTCAAGGCGTGTGGGTTTTTGGAGTTCTGGTTTTTAATGCACTGGGCAAGTTAGACTCTGATTTTTTTTTTTTTTTTTTTCCCCCTGCAGCTGCCGGGGAGCTTTCTCCTCTCCGCG